TATTATTTTTTATTTTATTATTTATTTTATTTTTTGTTGTTAATTAAATATATTTCATATAAATAAAAATAAGTGCACTTAATAGTCATACACTGAAATAATATATCGAGCTCTCTGAAGTTAAGCTTAAAATCCATTTTTATAAATAAATAAAAAAAAAAATAAATAAAAAAACAATTGATTGAACCTAAGATTTTACTTAAATATTTATTCATTTCCATATTCATATCTGTCGTAGCACATATATCATAAAATTGTTTACCTAATGCAACCAACTTTTACTTCACTTTGCCTTTACTTCACTCTGATATGGCCTGAGCCCTTTACTGAAATTAATATGGCATAGAAACACTAAAACGCTTATCAGCTTATCAAAATCTCCACGTCTTCGCCTCATTACCTTGTAGACATAGTGCTGAGTGGGAGGGGCCGACGGGGCCTATCAAAACTGTGGCTGTAATACAATATGAACGAGAAATATCTTTACATTTAACGCCCACAGCGCTGAATGCATGAGAGGGGCAGCTGGCGGGGGCCGAAGAGGCTGCTCGAGGGGCAGCTGGCGGCGGGGACTGGGCTGCTGGGGCTTTCAGACCGGAGGCACAATCAGTGCGATGTTTACAAGTTTTATGAGCCACCAAATAACAAGGCGAATAACCACAGCAACAACAACAACAACAACAACAACTGCCGAAGCGATCAGATTCAAGCCGAGGCCAATTTTAAGAGACCCCAAAGACAGGTCGCCCGAGTGGCTTTTGGTTTCGATTTCGCAAAAAACTAAAAAAAAAGGGAGAGAAATAAAGAGAAATAGTTAAGCTTGACAAGGGCGAATATGAAATACTCTTGCTGGGGCTGCTCTTAGAATTTTGCAGATAATTATTGATGAAGACTTTTGTAACTAAGTTGCTAATCATATAAGCATAACATGTTATATCAAATATAGAATTCCCTGTGAAGGCTAAATTGTCAATCGAAGAGCGTAACATGATTTTTGGTATAGAATGTTAAATCAATATTTATTTGAAAGCTCTAGGTATATCAAAAAGGTCTAAGACAAAAATTATTTATGCAATTTAAATGATATTATGGAAGAATTGAAATATCAAGGAATATATATTTTATACAATTATTTGGCAACCAATTTAATATGAACTGATGGATACAATTATACATATAGAAAACATGTACATACATATATATAGAATATACATTAAGATTGAAAATATATATAAATAGTCTGCCTCTGAATGTATCAGCATATAAAATTCAATAAATTTATATTCATATGATAATTTTGAGTTGGATAAGCTTCTATAGACCATTTCAGAATATAAAAACTTTCGAGGTGTCGAAGACATCTGTTTCCTGGCGTTACATATTTTGTTAGAAATTTTAAGTACTCTCACTCTCTTTCTCTCTCTCTCTGGGTCCCTGCAAAAAAGAGACGAAAAATGTTTCTTATACAATTCACAGCATGAGACGCAACACGATTTTTATCGTCTTTAATTTGCTTTTTATTTGATATCATATTTCATGGCATGTTTCAGAGGCCCTCGAAGCTGCAAGACCCAAATGAAAACAAAAGCAAGTGGCATTCTTCTTTTTTTTTCATGTTTTTTCCTGCTGTTCATCTGGTATGTCGTGACTCGGGAAATCGGGCTCTGAGTCAAGACGTCATAATGTCATAAAAATGTCACATACTTTTAATAACTTTATGACAGCTACAAAATCATAAACAAAATACTCTGACAGCAACAACACAAACACACACACACACACACATATACATTGAGAGTGGGAATTGTGACTGTGTATGCAAATGCTTGTGGCCAAGAAGGAGGCTTCATCATTTGGCAGCCACATCATAATGAGATGTGTCATGTTTGCCTTCCCCAGAATCGGTGACAGCTGCTTTAGCTTGGCATCTGATTGGGCAGCATCGCTCGCTGGGCGACCCTTAACAAAGAACATGACATGTGATTATTGGATAGAAATAAATTTATTGCCCTGAAGCTGACTATATTAGCTGCTTTATTGAGTCTCTAAACTTCAAACTTTTGAATATGAATTTTATTTATTTTATTTCTCAAGAATTCTATTAACATTTTTAAGTGCATAAAAAGTTTAAATCAAATTTAATTAACTTACTCTCTCACTTACTCCTCTTCTCTGCTTATCTCCCACTCTCTTGCCTTCTCTTTCTATCCATACATTTGGATACCCAACCTTAGCATTAATTTCAGCACATAAATTCGTTTTGCGACAAAACGCAGTTTTAAATTATGAAACCTCGCGGCTTGAAATGAAATCGACTCAACGCATAATAATGAAGCGACTGAAGAACATGGAATTAAAAAGCAGGAGAGAGAAAGAGGTAGGGAGAGAGAGATGTAGAGAGAGAGAGAGAGAGAGAGAAATATAACGAACCCGTAGAGTTATTAAATGCCAAGTTATTTGTCGTTTAGCTGGAAATCCATGCTGGCCATGCCGTCAGTACTTTAACTTTAAGACAAGACACCGAGACTGCTTTATGGCTTTGAGTAGGAAATCTTTATGAGCATGTGCCCTGGCCCCAAAACACAGCCAGACACAGAGAAGACAGACAACAACAACGACAACGAAAAAACGAAGTGAGACAAATTTATTGGCAAAGTATAAATGCATTTCTTTACGGCTTACAGTTTGTGTGGTTTTAATATGAAGTCGTAAACTTTTTTAATGATCCATAGAGATTGTTAAGAAAAAAAAAAAATATATATATATATATCTAACTATTTGCATATTTCGATTTATGAGACTAAGCCGTGTTTCCACGATTTGGCAATTTGTTATAGGTTAGTCTCGCTTCAACAAATGGGAGCAGCGTGTGTGTGTGTATGTGTGTGTGGAAAGCCTAATTGGTGGCATCAAATTTGGAAAGCTAGTAAAATTTTATGTTGACTTTGTTTTTGTTAAATTTGAATAATTCTTTGAGTGCTCAACTGTAAATTAGCTGGGAATCATATATTTTTGTCTGAAATGCATAATTCATGTCAATAAATTTTATATTACTTTTAATTTCATTTCTTATTGAAATGCATTTTCCAAATATGCAAAAATTGTATACAGTTATTTTTATACCCTGAACCCATTGAAAATGGGAAATCAGGGTATAATGGTTTTGTGAAAAGTATGTAACAGGCAGAAGGAATCATSRMAGACCCYATAAAGTATATATATTCTTGATCAGGACGACGAGCTGAGTCGATATAGCCCTGTCCGTCTGTCCGTCCGTATGAGCAAAAGGATCTCAGAAGATATAAGAGCTAGAGAGCTGAAATTTGGCATGCATACTATCGGCAGTACAAGTTTATCTTATTTTTTCGATAACTCATCATTTCAACATTTTTAGACCTGTAGACTTCAAATTTGTGTTGTATATAAAGTTAATGGATGCAAAGATATTGTTATTTACAGATTTTAGATACCACGCGCCCTTCGCCGCCAATTTGTAAAAAATCGTATTTCAAGTACTAGAGACCTGTGCTTTGGAATGTACACACAATTTAACAATATGATTACGTTTTGACAGTTTCTACAAAAGAAATTATTCAACAAATAAATTCTCATAATATTGCCCACACTGTAGCGCAGACNAATATATAAATATGGAAATAGAAATGTGGAAGGTAGAAGTATAATAATTTTGTAGAAGACATAAATTTGTTGTAAAAATATTGAAACACTTTGCAGCACGTTTCTAGCTAAGGTAATTACACTCTAAAATTTAGAACAGTTTCCCAATCAAATTCACCCACATAGATTCGACTCCTGCTCCTTCTCCTGCTGCTGCTGCTGCAATGATAACTCAATTTGGAACTTTATAAATGTATTTTTATTAAAAGTATCTCTCCATCTCTCTCTCTCTGTTGTATGTGACGGTGCACTATCGTAGCTCTCCATTAGAGCCAATCAAAACTCACAGCGCATAAGCCATTTCTCGTACAAAGTAAATAATTTGTTGGCAATAACGGAAAGTTGTGCTTATCGCATTGCAATGCAACTTTAAGAACTCACTTGCCGCAAATATTTCGAGCAATTTATCTAGAGTGAAAAACTTGCTCCTGCAAGCGGCCTTGCCTCCTTTTCCCCCGTGTTCCTCTTGTTGGGTTTCTCTATTTTTTGGGTGGGAGGTTTTATGATTGCACAAATGCAAAATGCATAACAAACTCAATTGCAGAAAATATTTCGCATGCGGTGGCAGTTGATATGCACCGAATTGGGATTTATTTATATGGAGAAGGAGTGAGACAACTATGGCCTTGTCCTGGACCAGGTGCGTCCCTGCGGCATGTCCCTGGCCCCGTTTTTCCTTTCATTTTT